CCTAAAGATCTTCCAAAGATAACTATCCTGGTTGTGTCAATGTCCTTCCTCTGAGCTAGATAATCGAGTGCAGCCTAGTAAACAGGATATCTGTAAGAATTGGGAACAGGCAAAATCAGTGAAGTAAAACATGAAGGAACCAACAGACCTGTGCATCATATGTGATCCCTTTCTGAGAAGGATAACCATCACTCTCACCATACCTATAAAGAAATTCAGGTTTAGATGTATCACAAATGAAGAAAATAAGAACGTTTGAACCCACAAAGTATTGAGAGCTCAAGTTTGAATGGTACAAATATAATAGAAGTATGAAATAGCATACCCTCTATAAGAAAGCATAAAAACATTGCAGTGTAGTCGCTGCATCATTAGTCGAACAAATTCCAAACGGTGAGCGATGTCTAAATAGTAAAGGATTTAACAGAATGAGATTCTGATAAAATTTGAGCCATCATATGAGGTATGATTTATATGTACATAGGGGGGAAAAGGATACTGCCAGCATTTTCTTGGAAGAACAGAAAGGTTGGACCTGCATCAGAAAAACATACCATAAACAATTAAAGAAGTGGGCATAAAAGGGGTAAAAAAAGATAAGCATGCTGAGGAAATGGGGCAGGATTAGAGGGCAGAACAATTAAGTGCCACAAGTCCCTAATTACAAATACAATCAAAATTGTAACTCCTTTTGCTAGGTCATGCTAACCTAACTTAGTACCTAAAAAGACCAGCACACGATGCATTCAATCAAAAAGACAAGAACATGAGTCACGCAACTAGTTTAGTATGTGGACAAAATCAGTTAGTAAATGGTGGACACATAGTAACAGATATGACTAGCAAGATAACAAACATGCAACTAAATAGCTAACTTCTACGGTTGTTTGCATACTGATTATATTGACCAATCTCGCTTCAATACACCAGTACTGCATGCAAGTAAACTTTAACTTGCAGCTAGCTGACAGTGTCTGCTTGCTACTATGGGCCAAGGTGTGAATGATTGAGTTGATCAGAAGAAGCTAAGGTCAGTGGTGGCCCCTTTTCATGAAACTCAACGATGTTTAGAGGTGGAGTTTGCCATTTTTGCCACCCACAAAGCACCAGTGAATATCAAGTATATCCTATATCTGCCTGCTTCCAACCAATTTGGTCCACGTGAATTCTTTGGGAAACAAGCATGTTATGACATATCAACACATCGTCGAAAACCTTACTAATTACGCTTTCTAAATCAGTACATCTTTTGAAACATATGATGGAAACCTAATCCAACAAACAAAAAACTAATGGCAAAATGCACAGCAAGAATTGTTAATAATCATAGAGATAACAAAAATACCTAAACATGAAAGGACCTTAGGCACTATAGCAGTTTACACGTGTACAACTAATAGCAAGATGAACAAATACTGAGCACCACATAAACAGCAGAGTAACTTCTATGAAATCATCCTAGCCCTGGACCCATCCAGCTAAATTTTCACCTAAGCTAGTTATCAGCTCCAATGATTAATCCATAAGCTGGACTGCAGAGATCTGTGCATCATAACCTAGAAACCCTAGAGGTCAGTCAGCTGTCAACACAGAGCATGAAAGTAGCTACAAGTCGCTGGCAAAAAGTACGCCCTTAATGTATAATCTGAACACTACCAACACAGACCAACCCAATTATCGATCAAGGAATCTAAGGGCTGAAGTAACTTCGACGTCACTAAATCTAGGCTGACGCGTATCAAATTGGAGTCCTATAACCGAACCACGAAGAGATCCACCAGTCGGGAAATCAAATACTACCTAGTAAACCTGGAAACCTGGAGAGCACCAGCCACGGTTCACAGAGGAAGCAGACGAAGAGGCAAGTAAAGAGAGGGAGGGAGGATTGTGTACAGAAGACGATGGGGAGTGTGCTCGCGCTAACCTCGGCAGGTGGGGGAGTGGCGGATGAACCAGGAGTGGAGGCGCACGCCGTCCGCGGCGCGGAGCCAGACATCCTCGTAGATGAGGCCGAGGCGGGCGGGGGTGATGGGGTACGCGCGCGGCAGGCCCGGGAGCATGGGCACGTAGACGAGGCGCTCCTGCAGCGCAACCAGCGCCGCTAGGCCGGCCACCGCCACGCCCCCGGCGCTGTACGCCAGCGCCTTCAGCCACCCCACCATCTCCCCTCCCTCTCCCACCGCCGCCGTCGCTCGCCGGGAGGAGAGGCGCCGCCCCTCTGGTGGTGGTGAGACTCGGTGAGCGCGACGGAGCGGCGGAGACCCGAGAGGGGCGCGGCTTCTGGCTGGCTCGTGGGGGCTCGGGCAGTCGGGCCTGGGCGCCTGGCAGTGGGTGGTGTGCTCTGGTCTGGTTCGAGCACTAGTTGGCGCAGGTCAGTAGGGTCCAGCAGACATGGACAGACTGACCGGTCTCGTGCTGTTTTTCTTAACCTTACTCTATAAATTTTAATTTAAACTTAAAAAACTATTCTAATAAAAAATATTCTATATATCGCTCATGCTCTCACAATTTATCTATAATTTGTTCCGTACTTTAAAGAGATAGTTCCACTCTCTATCTTTTACGAGAGAGAAACTAAGAATAAAGGAGAGAAATATTTGGATATTAAATTAAAGAAATGGTTGGAGTAAATTTTTTCACCAAAACCTCTATTCCTATTAATAAAAAAATTAAAGAGAATATAAAGAGAATCTTAGAATCGTGAACAAACCAATTAGCAATGCCCAATCTACGAACACCTTCTGTAAAACAGGATGCACGGGAGGATCTCATTTCATTTCCCCTTAAACCTACTCCTAGTGCGCTATATTATACATATATTAAATACACATTGTACATGACTCTTTTTTACATGATATAGATTTAAAGGATAGAGAACTAAGATATAGATTACTATATTAGGCTCCATATCCAATACTATGAAACTATGTTATATAGATTTTTCTTAATTTGGCATTGACGGAAATTGGAAAAAAAAATAAGGAGAAATCCACTGAAAATGACAATAGATTTAAGCCATTCAATGATAACTATGTACACCCTCTGTTCTGAAATATAAGGTATCTAGCATCCAAATTTAATCCTAAATTATAAAGGATTCTAGATGAATAAATCCTCCAAAAGATAATATTCACATGCATACCTATCATTGATATTATCACCAATCTAAATACAGTAATCAATAAGGGTTATATGTGTTATTTGTTGTACAACATATTGTAAAATTGCTTGGGCCTTGTTTAGATTCTAAGTTTTTTCACTCTCTCTCCATCACATTAAATCTTTGACACATACATGGAGTATTATATATATATAAAAAAAATAACTAATTACAAAGTTTGATTGTAAATTACGAGACGAATCTTTTGAGCCTAGTTAGGCCATGATTGGATAATAATTGTCAAATACAAACAAAAATGCTACAGTGTCAAATATTGATTCCCAACCATTATCTAAACAAGGCCTTGGATACTTATATTTTAGGATGGAGAGAGTAGAAATTTATGTCCATAGATGGGGTAGAAGTGCATCCAGATACTACCATTACAATAAAATAAAATAAAAAAAGTTTGCAAAAGCTATTTTTAACTAAACTTAAATTTTAGAACTAAAAAAAGACTATCTAACTATGTTATTTGCACGGACCGTTTACTGGTTATGATAGTCTTTGAATAACTGACAATGATACATTGCACTAGCCTTAAATACCTTGTGCTGGCATAACTTTTAAGTTTAAGCTAGAAAAAACAGAGCCGGTGATTCTACTCGCACCGCCACTCCCCTTCACAGCTTCACTATAGCGGCGAGTGACTCATCCTCTCCACCTTGACATCTGGCCTCCCAGCACAACAAGGTGATGGCATAATGATACAAACCGAAACTGCATCGCCATTTAATCAACTAGATATTTAGTTCTAAAGTCCACTGACGCATTTCCCGTAACCCATAAATTCATAGCTCCACACAGCATTCATACACGAAAGAGATAGGAGTGCAAAACCGTGTACACATCGAAACTTCTGTTAAGATATTCCTTTTCTTCTCTGGATATGGGCTCAGACCTTAGCAACCATGCAAATTTCTAGAAGGGAACGGAAATAAGAACTTGGGGGCCATACTTTATAATGTAATTATACTATGAAAACATAAATATTCCTAAAAAGAGAACGTGATGGTTCCCGAACAAGAAACGTGGGCATGTTCCATGTTTCTACATGCTAAGACTGTCTCCGACAATACGACTCAAAATAGGAGACCTATTTATGGTATGCGTCGCCCTGAAATAAAAAGGTCACGCCCCTAAAAGCTTCCTTCTCCAACAACAAACGTAGAAGGAAAGGCCGGAACATGGACGGTTTTGTTCGCACGCGGTCCATGAAATTTTCGCGGGAAACGGAGGGGAGGGTATCATGCGTAATGCGGGCTTGGCTCCATGGCTGGATTATCTTGACGCCCCGGCTGCGTGTGAGAAGGGAGTCAAACTGGCAGCGAGGTAGCCGCCGGCGATCAACCGCCGGCACAAGGCAGGGCGTTGGCGCAACTGAGTCAATCAGGTAAACTTATTTCTGGCGATTTGGTTGTTCGATGTCACCTCCACTTTTAGGGCTCGGTTTCACCCCCAATCCAAGTGGAGTTGGAGAGGATGAAAGGGGATTGGGAGGGATTTTGACTTTTTCTAGGGTTGAGATGGAGATTGAGATTGGTACAATGGCGAGTACTGTCTGTGACTCAATTGCGATTTCACATATCCACGCATTGTATGTACTTCTACAGCTATCTCGGATTGACGTTGTAATTTTACAGCTACTCTACTTGTCATGTTTGTGTGCTACAGCTATCTCGGATTGACGTTGCACTTCTATAGCTATTCTAGGGTATCAAATCCCTCTCAATCTCCTCCAATCCATTTGGATGGAGAGTAAAACGAACGAGCCCTTAATTTGTGGCCAATTTGTCCCTAAATCAGCTTGGCTTTAGACTTGGACTGCAGTTGCGTTGCCATGGCTTGGAATTATGTCAAAATTTCAATGTTCGGGATAGCCGCAGCATACTCCAGGGACAATGAGATCATGGCTGCGGTGGCCATCCTCACCCAGACACCACAAAAGCGCCCTTGGGGAGGTTCGGTGCCAGGCCACAAGACTTACAAGCATGATCGAATTGCAGCAGACCGACAACTGAATCAGGACTACTTTGTTGAACGTCCTCTTTACAATGAGGAACATTTTAGAAGGAGGTACAATCTTTAGCCTAGTTTCCATTTGCATGACACATTGAATTAATTTGATAAACAATTCTAATTTTGTGCTGTAGGTTCCACATGAGACGGGAATTGTTCCTTCGGATAGTGGATGAGGTCACTGCCAAGAATACCTTCTTCAAACAGAGGAGAAATGCTGCTAGGCAGTTAGGATTCTCTACTCTTCACAAGTGCACGGTGGTTGTAAAGATGCTAGCATATGGAGGCCCAGCTGATGAGTTGGATGATCATTTGAAAATGGGAGAGTACTGTCTTGGAGACCCTGAAGAAATTTGTTATGACTGTGATCGAGGTGTTCGGCAAAGAATTTCTTCGTCCTCCTAGAAGTGAGGAGATAGAGCACATATTAAGCATCAATTTGGCTAGAGGTTTCCCGGGAATGATAGGCAGCATCGATTGCATGCACTGGGAATGGTTTAATTGCCCGACTGGTTGGCAAGGCATGTACAAAGGGCACAAAGGCAAGCCAACTCTAATACTTGATGCGGTGGCGACCGAGGATCTTCGGATTTGGCATGCTTACTTTAGTTTACTAGGGTCTCATAATGACATTAATGTTTTGCATCGTTCCGATGTTTTTGATGATTTAACTAACGGGAGGGCACCCTCTATTGAGCTCCATGTCAACGACAACATATATTCCCTTAGATACTACCTGGCAGATGGCATCTATCCCGATTGGGCTACACTAGTGAAAAGCATTCCTTTGCTAGTTAGCAATAAGCAAAAGGTATTTCAGAGCAATAGGAGTCATGTCGAAAGGATGTGGAGAGAGCTTTTGGTGTCCTAGAGGCTAAGTGAAAAATCTTGCATAGGCCAGCTCATTTATGGAATCAAAAAGTACTTAATTCCATCATGCGTGCTTGTGTCATACTTCACAACATGGTAGTTGAAGATGAGCGCGGGGTTCAGCTACCTAATATCCACCCATCAGAATGCCCTGGAGTGGCTGACCCACCAATTAACCAAGATAGAGAAATCCCGGGAACTAAGAAACTTGTTGATGCTCAAAACATCATTCAGAACAGAGAGACAGCAGCTCAGCTTCAAAACGACATGATGGAACACATGTGGATGCTTTACGACCAATGCTTTGGTCCTTTTGGTCCTAATAACAGGAACTAAAGTATTTACCTGTAGGTTTAGTTTTTTTTTGCCGTCTCTGTATGTAGCTGTAGGTTTAGCTGCAGGCAGCCTACTGACAAGGCCTTTGTATTTTGTTGGCAGCCGACACATGTAGATATTTTATTGCTTGTTGATAAGAAATATATGATATCTGTAGTGGAATTCTGTTGGAGTTCTGTAATTATTTCAGTGGCGTGCACCTTCAATCTAGAAGTATTTTCAAAATAAAAGGTAGGTAACTGACATGGCTTTTCCAACATAGGAAACAAGTAGCCCTGCCTGCCATTAGTCAGGTAATGTAGACTCTGTAATTCAGATTACAATTTCAGAGCGTCTGTCTATTTGGTACTTCAGGAATATATCAGTACTGACGTATCATGGTCTATTATAATACATCTTGATCTTGTGTTATTGTTTCTGAAGCCCCATCATTCCTTTAACAGTTCTAAGTAATACTGCAAAAAGGCAAGAGTATGACAAGAAAGGCATTCTATATGTTCAAGATCAGAATGTGGTGGTAAGCATTAAGCAACTATTCTTTTCTATTGTTATCTTGTCGTACAACACTACAGACAGGCAAAATCAGATTGCCTATACACAGCAGTTCACAACACTACAGATAATACATCAGTTCAACAAATAATAAAAAAGTTGCACACAATACATTTATTCAACTCTAGTTCAACTGAAGTTTAACACACGCTCCTTAGTCTTCATTGTTCGAGGGGCTGATGAATCATCTGCGCTCCATGATTTGCCATTGCATGCCAAGATAATACTTTTTCAGATAAAGAGGGACCTTCTCAATGTCAACCGACATAATACTAGACTCAGCTGATATCAGGTGAGCCTCCGACTCCTTCTCTCTAATCGCATTTTCCTTCTTTTTCTGCTGCACACTCATCTTCATATGCTTCTTCTGAAAGTTGAAAAGATTCCTTTGAATTTTATTTTTTTCATCCCTCCTACTAAGGATTTCAGTCATTTGCTAGTCTTGCTTCTGTTCGGTCTTCTCTGATTTCTCCTGCAACCGCTGGAGGACTTCAACAGCCGTACTAGATGACAATGTCTCTATGAAGCTCTTTGATCTACGTCTCTTCACACTATCCCTACCCTCAGGACGTGATGTGTCTATATTCTCATTCCTAGATTCTGCATGGCCAGCCACAGTATGGCCTTGAGCTGGAGGAGATGACATTCCATCCAGTGATGTAGAGTTGTTTAGCTCAAGAAACCTATTGTTCCATTTGGCCTCATTGCGAAGTTTTTTCCAGCAATGCATGATGGTAAAAGGTTCTGTCCTCTCGTACATTTGTACAACATCATCAATCTGCACATATGAATATAGATTAAACCGATTCAAAAAATAAACATATGGAAATTAGAGAGATGGAGGACAACATAAGTGGAAGTATACCCGATCCTGCTTATTTTTTTCGCTCTCATTCAGCCTATCAATAGCTTCTTTGTACCCACAAAACTTGTTCATCGCTTTCTGAATTATTTTTTTCGCTACGGTTGTCGTTTTGTATTTAAAGTAGTGCATCGTTTGTTCATTCCTTCAGGCATGGTGAATTGGATATATATATATATACACACACTAGGACAGCATACAATATTTTTTTCCTGTGCCAAATCTACCACTACCATCTGCCCTGTAAAATGAGTCATGGGTGAACGCATGCTATCACTACAGTCCTGGGCTATTATATATACTCACAGATTTGTGATTTCCAAATGTACTACCACATAGCTCACGATTCAATCCATCTCGGTCATGAGAATCAGATGACGCAAAGAACTTTACACAGATGGATCAGCAGCGGATCGAGCAAAATCTGAACGAGCGACAGCAGATGGGGGAGGAAATGCAGGGACAGAAACAAAACCAGCTCCTGTCCGCCTAGGAGCTGGTCGGCCGGCGACAGTCGAAGCGTGGAGCGGGCAAGCGGCAGCGGTTGTGCCGCTAGGGCGGGGACGCGCCGTCGTAGGGTGGGCTGGCCAGGGCTCCGCGGCGAGCCTGGAGGACGTGGCGGTGGGGCGGAGGGATCCATACCTACGAAGCCTAGCTCGGTGCAGATCTCGCCGACGGCGACTCGCCGGGTGCGCTTTCCTCTTCTTTCCCTTCCCGCGAAATGGTTGTGCGGGCGTGGCCGAGATATGGGTCGAGGAGAGAGACGGACGCTTATTTGGGTTCCCACTCGACATCGACGCAAATTGGGTCTTCGGTTTCCCTGCTCCGTTGGATCATGCTTTTTTCACCTAAACCAACATGAACGAGGCATATTTAGGTTTGGGTGCCGTAGTGGGTAGACTGTTGGAGACAGTCTAAGGCTCCGACGCGCTAAGAATTTGTTGGACCTTCCGCCTCGGGTGGTGAATGCCTAATGGTGGAGAGTGCCCCAAGAGAAAGAAGCTAAAAACAATTAGTTTGTTGTAATCTCATCCTTTTGTAAGAAAGGTATTTTTAAGCAAAACTGGAACATACCATTTGTCAATATTAATGTCATTTCAAAAGGTAAGAATCACTTCACATATGATCTCATTCAGCATAAACAAATTACGTTTATGCTATGCAGTTACTCCTTTAAAAGCTTGTTGGGATACAAGGGCTAATTTGCTAGCCAACTCTAGCTATTTTTGGATTTAGCTCCAATTTGTAACTAGTCATATGTATCAAACGGACTTGAGAAGGGGCAAATTCACTGGGCAGCAAGAGAGGCTCATGCGCCTACTACAAGTTCCACCCCAATGGAGAAGATGGAGTTGAAGAAGCATAGTTGTTGCCCAGCTCATATAACCATGTCTTTACCAATCACAATGTATGAATCTCTATGTGCTTATTGGTACAATTATTAGTATTGTTGTGTAAGATGCAACAAAGATGATGAGTAATTCTTCGTCAACATGAGAGTGGCAAGCAAAAGAAGCATGTACCAACTTATGAATCTAGCACTTTTATCTCACTGTGCAAAATTATACGTACATATATATACTAACAATTTAGCATTGGATATGAGTTTATCCTTAAATGTTTAGCAGTAGATCTACTATATGGACCTCCGTCGCTTGTATCTTACACTTGTTTTATCGTAGCTTTTAGTAATGCAGTCATAAAATGGTACTGGTCAAAATAACACTCAATAAATATTATTTCCAAGAATCCTAAAACTCTAAGTATTGGATATACAAATATAGTGGATATGTGTGCGTATAGAGACACACACACTTTTAACCTATTTGAGGCACTGTGTGTGTGTAGTCTTTTGTCTATTTGTGGTTTAGAGGATATAAATATACTTTCCAAGAAACACTTTGGTCAATGCCTTCTCTAGTATATATATCATAACAATAATTGAATTCTTGGCAACACAAATTCAATTTGTATGATAACTCAAATTTATTTTTCTTATAGAAATTCCTGTTACATCATTCGCACCTAATAGTGAAAATAAAAAAGTAAGAAATGTTCTAGATGTGCCGATTAATTGCAGTTCATCAAATTTAGTGCATCCTTGTAAAGTCGGGCGGAGCCAATAAGGTCCTCTTTGGCAGGGCTTTTATTACGCCTTCTTCATCGGCTTAATCAAAGCCCTACCAAGCAAGCACATACGAGAACGGATTTCAAAATCAAAACTAGACAAAAAAAAAGTGGTGAAGCTCCGGTCGTTTTTTGGGCAGAAGTCGAAGCCACCACAGCATGGCTTCTCCTAGCTTCACCATTTTTGAAGAACCCAATCCCTGACAAAGAAACATATCGATTTGCCTTCGCATCATTAGCCCTCTGGTGTGAGGGGTGGGGGGCATAGCCAACTAAAAGACTCGATTCTCGCTCTACGTGTCAGTTCCAAGGACACCCATGGTGCTTGACCCTTCGGCCTATGTGACTGCTTGCCAAAAAAGATGAGTTTTTTTTACCATGGCTCGACTCAGGTTAGAGCATAAAAGCATCTGTGTTTCTAATCCGTGTTTCGGTAATTAACAACAATAAGTATGGATTTACATTTTTATTTAAGATAAAGAAATCAATCCACTTAAAGAATTGAGCTACATTGGATATCATGTGCATGGAGTCGGAAAACATGATCGCTAACTCAAGGCAAAGTTATAACGTTAGGTTGATCCATTTAATTGGACATATGATTAGAGGTGTGCAGTGTCTTTTGTTCTAGGCGACTCAAGATCAAACGAAATCCTGATAGAAGAGCGGTTGAACATTAAATACACATACACTTCAATGTGGATTAATGTGACCAGCAAGTCATCGATACTGTGGGATAAAATCTTTGTCTCACGATTGGTTATCTCTTATGCTCAACTTACTTTCTTACAATTTAATTTGAGCTATTTATGTACTTAGAAATTGAATTGTTGCTTGTTATCCTAGGTTGTAAATATTCATCTAGCTTAGTAAAAGTAGGTTACTAGGACCGTCTTTACTTATCTGCCAAGTATTTATGCTTTAGTTAAAATTGCCTACTCACCCCTCTAGTCTGTATATTTTATTCAATGTAGCGTTGACTTTGATTTCGCAAACATCGACGACTCTAGTGTATGGTTCAACCCACATCGCTGATTTTCAAGTACACTAGAGTCAGTGGCAGAGGACGGATGAAAAGGTATTGCGTAGCTAACAAACAAAGCGATGAACTTCAGACCACCGTATCTAGACTAATGAAACTGAAATGTTCTACTACAGTATTCAGTGTACTCAAAGGTATGGCGGTGGCCAGACCTTGCCGAAGCTCCGCCCCTGACTAGAGCTACTCTTAAATCAAGTTGATTTTCTGGGCCGTGGATGACGCTAAATAAAGGGTGTGTTTGGAACAACTTAAAATTGGATCTACTATTGCTCCACTGTGAGAATCAGAAAAATCCCGTCAAACACTTCATGAGAATCGATGATTCTTTTCACCGTCGGAGACACGACAACCCTAAGATTGAACTAGCCCTCACGTTTCTAGTGCCGCGAGGTGAAGGGTGTGGTCGCCATTCGCACGGTGCAGTGACGATGCCGCGGTCCTAAACATGGCCAAAGAATAGGGTAAGAACCCACGAAAACATAGCAAATGTCTGATCACCATGCGTCTGGTTCTTGGTGCACCTACCAATATTCAAGGCGGGTGACGTGTGAGCACCGAGCAGCGGAGAGGAGGCGAAACATTTTTTGTTTGTTTATTGCGCCGAAAAAACTAACAGAGAAAAAGACATAAGGGGGCTGCACAGTAGGCGCACATATTTGGCAGCCGGAGCGGCCTCGTCGTGCCCCGTATTCTCAGCTGCTTCGACGTATTTCTCTCTCTCTCTCTATCTATACGGTTCAAGGGACCGAAGAAGGTAGAGAGAGAAATTCGAAGGGGGAGAGGAGGGAGATACAGGTACACACTCCTCCTGATCCCTCTAAGGAGTCCTCGATTGGTCAGTTCTGTTCTTGAGTTCACTGTCGCCACAGATTGGATGGCTCCTCTGCTCTCCTCTGCTCTCCGTTCTGACCAGCAAGGCATCGTGCTCGCTCTGCTGGGCTACTAACCTTAGTCTTGCTCCGCGGTTTGATTTGATTCATCTTTTTCTTCAATCTTGTCACTCCTAAGGTTTCCCACTCTGGTTTTCTTGATTTTCCGCTTGGAAATTTGTGAAGTTTAACAGTATTTTTTGGCTGATGCCGCTTATTTCTGTTCTTGGCCATGCTTGCTTGGATAAGCTTTGGCTTCAGCCTAGCTCGCATTGCACGATGCGTTGTTCCTAGAATCCGGGCGCAAGTTCTATGAGCTGACCACTATTTCGTGGATTACCTGGGGGTGGCGCGTTGATGTTCTCGGCAGTTGGGGTGGATGGGAATCTGCAATCCCTTTTCTATTCTATCTAGGATTAGATGGCTTGAATCTAATTATGTGCAGATTGTGTTGATTTCTTAATTCACTTATAGCTGTGTGATAAGAGTCATCTTGAGGGTGCGGATATGCATGCTAGAACTTCAGGGGAGTCTCGAATCAGGAATCAGGTTTATCAGTGCGTAAACTTGTTGATATGAGCTGAAGCATCTTTCCTATGAGGACCTGACAACTGACAGGCACAAAATTAGTGATTTATAATGCTGATCCACTCTTGGTAAAACAAAAGTTTTCTAGAGTATTTTTTCAGAGTCCAAACATCTGAGATGTAAAAAAAAAAAAAAAAAAAAAAAAAAAAAAAACTGGCTGATGACGATAATGAGATAATCCACTGAAAGCAGATACTACTTGGCACTCTGCCTGCAATAGATGTAAATCTGTATCTGATAAAGGAGTAGAATTGCCACCAATTACCCTTGTTCTTTAGCTTGTCATTGTCAATTCAGCTAATTCAGTGCTAGCTACTTGCCACAAAGGTTAATTAGGTGTCCGTTCATCTGATTTCTCAGACACAAAATGTTGTTTGGAGCTCAGTGTCAGTGACACCATCTTGTAATGCCTGTGCTTTTACGGGAAATGGAGGATCATTCTGTCCATCCCATGCCTAAGTCTAACCATGTAAGTGTTGGTATTTATGCTGGAAACCTTTGTCTGCTTGCCATACCATAGATAATTAGCTTATTAGCTAGCCTATATGTGCAGGGCCCCTTGTCAGGAAATGGTTATGAGATGAAACATTCAGGCCATAAAGTTTGCGATAGAGATTCAACATCAGAATCTGATCGGTCTCACCAAGAAGCATCAGCAGTGAGTGAGAGCAGTCCAAATGAACACACATCAACTCAATCAGGTAATTCTTTATCTCCAACCACTTAATATCAGTTATCATTCATTTTGTATCTTTTCTTTTACGCTGTTGGCATTGGGATACAGCTTGATTTAAAGTTTACTTCACAAGAAATGTTATGAACTGATGAATTCTGAGTTTAATATGTTCAGATGCCTTTCTTGACTTGCTCTGTTATGCTGTAGTGCCAGTATCCATAAGTTCTACTATGCGTTCATGCAGTTTTACATGGCCATTTTCATATTCTTGTATGTGCTCCTTCAGTTATAGTCAGACAATCTTCATATGGACTCAAATTAGAATTGGGTTTATCGAAATTTAGTTACTTAACAACATAGTTTCCTTGGATCGCAGAACTAACCACCCCGTGTCACTCCCACATCGCTGAAGCTGGCTCAGGCGGCTCCTCCCCAAAACCCTAGCAGCCCCTCCCTCCCTCCCCCCTTGCCACGCATGCCGGCTGGCTGTCAGCATGGCCGCCCGGCCGACGGGGATGGCGGCGTGAGCCTTCTCTCTCTCTCGGCGGCGCGCGGCAGCAGAGGTCGACGGTCCCTCCCTCCTGTGTGAGCTGCGTGGAGCTCGGCCGGGGGGTCGTCGCTGCTATGGCGGCGCCGGCTAGTGCCCCGAGCCGGCGCGGGGGGGCGGGGCGGGCTCTCCTTCTCCTCCGCGCGTTCCCTCCTCCTCTCTTGACGGCGACGGCGGCGACACACAGCCGCCGGTCCGGACCGTGAGGTCGATCCGGTGCCGGAGGCCGGATCTGGACTCTAGGTGGCTGGCCGACTCGGGGGCGGCGCGGCGCGGTGCTCTGGGTCGTGATCAAGATGGAGGCGGCGGCGGCGGCATGGGGCGCCGGGTTCGGGGCCTGGTGTCCGGATCCGGCGGTCCCAGGGCAGGGGGCGGCGCCCGAGATGGTGGGGCACACGCCCTGTTGCGGCTGGCGGCGAGGTCGGCTGCGACATCGGCGGGTGCCTGGGCCGACGAAGATGGTCTGTGGCGGCCTCGTCGTGCGGCGGCATCGGGGCGAGCGGCGGCGGAGCCAGTCCGGCTATGCGTGGCTTGACGGGAGGGTGACGGCCGGCCGCGGTGTGTGGCGTGCTGCTGCGTGCAGCCGGCGCGTCGATGCCCCTCTGAAGGGGCTTCCGTGGGGCGGCGGGACAGCGACGATGGCGGTGTTGGCTGGCAGGGGGTCCGGCTTCGTGACCTGGCATTCGTGCTAGAGGGTTCTTGGGCGAAAGCCTTGGCGACGGCGACACCTTTGGGCGTCGCTTCCCTGTTGGGGGCGTCGTGTTCCCCTCTAGCATGTCATCCAAGGGTAAAAACCCTGTCCACTTTGGACGTGCGACGGTGGCGCCATCGGCGTCGCTCCCTTCCTGAAGGCGTCGCATCTGGATTATCGCCGCGGCCTCGATGCGAGGCATGGGTTTGCAACTGGAAGTCGGAGCTGCTCTTCGTGGGTTGAGCTTGGCAATGATGACCGGTGGCGGTCGTTCCTTTGGACCCGTCGGGAGGTGACCAGTGGGTGGCCTGCCATGGGAAGTCCAAGCTGCTGGCAGCTTTGCTTCCATGCTCGGCAACGATGATCCATGGCAGTGTGCCGTGTTTGTGCTCAATCGCGTCGCGTGGGGGTGGTTAGCCCCTCGGGTGCCATTTTGGCTACTCGGTTGGCTAACCTTCTTGTACATTATTACTTTCTTTCGTCTTAATTGAGCGGCAGAGCTCCTGCCTTTTGTTTAAAAAAAAAAGAAATTTAGTTACTTCTGTTGTATATGTTCCTGCGTTTTTTTAATAAAAAAATCCTTTGCTCCTGTTACCATCTTCACCAACCCATTAGCTTGTCTTTTGAGAAATCTTCAATTATCTTATGTATTTATTGGCCTTTGAAACAATGTTTCCCTGCCCAAGACTAATGTATAATAAGGTTTTTTGATACATTAGCACCATCATGACAGTGTATTTTTTGTCTCCAGACAATGATGAAGATCATGGGAAGGATACTCAGGACACAATGAAGCCAGTATTGTCCTTGGGGAAGGAAGGGTCTGCCTTTTTGGCCCCAAAATTAGATTACAGCCCATCTTTTGTAAGTTCCATTTGATAGGGAGAAGTGCTGTTTTCTTAAATCTTATGTGCTGCTTTGAGCTAACTTCCTACATTTGTTCCAGGCTTATATTCCTTATACTGCTGATGCTTATTATGGTGGGGCCTTGACAGGATATGCTCCACATGCCATTGTATGTTCACTCTTAACTTTTCAGTTTCTGTCTTTCTGACCACATTCTGTAAGTAAATACCCAACATTTAGAGCTACAAGATCATATAATGATTTCTCTGTGATACATTTGCAGTCATTTTAATTTCAGAGAGAGATCGTCCTTGACTCCTTGTATATTAGGTGTTATGAAGGCTCCTTGTGAAACACATTCTTTCTGTTTCCTTATTTCTGAATTGATTATTTTCCAAAGCAACAAAATGGTAAATCGTGCTTTTACTTGAAGTTTGGCAATGCAATAGAAATTTTGTTGCGGCATTTTTGGATCAACGCTGTCTCACTGAGTCACCAGGTCGTGGGTTCGAAATAGCCTCTCCGCAGATTTGCGGGGGGAAGGCTTGCCTCGGTTTTTCCCTTCCCCAGATCCCACTCATGTGGGAGCCTCCGGCACTGGGTCTGCCCTTTATTTTTGGATCAACGCTCTTAGTCTTTTATAATTTGCACAGAACTTAATGGAAGCTATTTATGATATCTCCAGATAAAAGATTAAAGGAATATAGAACCATAATTGCATCCTACCACAATTTTGGCTGCCATGCTAGCTGTCATTCTTGATAACACATAGGCTTCTTCATATTCAAAAACTTTATTGTTGCCAAACAAATGAGCCTGCGTTAATGCCGTCATTCCTGTATTATGCATTTAGGTCCATCCCCAGCAAAACGATACAACAAACACTCCAGTTATGTTGCCTGTGGAACCTGCAGAAGAAGAGCCAATATATGTTAATGCAAAACAATACCATGCAATCCTTAGGAGGAGGCAAACACGTGCTAAATTGGAGGCCCAGAATAAGATGGTGAAAGCTCGGAAGGTAATACATAGTAATTTTCCAATTCCTGATGCTGATTTGGTAAGCTGCTTTTAATTGTTCTTCAGCATTTGCTGCATACAGAGCTTTAACTATCAGTACAGTAGATTTTTCTTGGCCATATTCAGAGGGAGGTCACAAAAACCCCTGTGGCTACAATTTCAGTAGGTTCTCGCTTAACTTTTTTAGCAAATTGTTTTGGACTTGTGTCACCAAGCATTTTTGTAAGAGTGAGACATAATTGTTTTGTAACTAGCTAACATCAAGCATTTCTGGGCTTCTGCGTCACTTTTTAATCTGTTCTTTTCTGATCTGAAAGCTGCATGAATTAGTCCTGCATTCCTATACAGGCAATAGTTCTGTTACTTCAACTATATAGTTTACCTGGCAAATACACATTACAAAGTTTCCTTTCTTCACAGCCATACCTTCATGAGTCTCGACATCGTCATGCCATGAAGCGGGCTCGTGGATCAGGAGGGCGATTCCTCAACACAAAGCAGCTCCAGGAGCAGAGCCAGCAGTATCAGGCATCGAGTGGTTCAGTGTGCTCAAAGATCATTGGCAACAGCATAACCTCCCAAAGTGGCCCCACCTGCACGCCCTCTTCTGACACTGCAGGTGCTTCAACAGCCAGCCAGGACCGCAGCTGCTTGCCCTCGGTTGGCTTCCGCCCCACGACGAACTTCAGTCAGCAAGGTGGAGGAGGCTCGAAGCTGGTCGTGAACGGCATGCAGCAGTGTGTTTCCACCATATAAGGTGAAGAGGAGTGGGCACAACACCATTCCCAGGCGCACTGCCTGTGGCAACTCATCCTTGGCTTTTGAAACTATGAATATGCAATGGACATGTAGTTTGAGATCCTCAGAATAATCAAACGTGCAGACATATGCAAATCCTTTTCAGCTTGCTGTAGCTGAAAGAACTGTGGTTAGGTTATGAGTTTGTTCCTGGAGACTGATCCATACATGACATGCTACCTCTTGCTGAGTTTCTGAGGTGAAGCCATCGAAACATGATCCTGTTGTTCAATACCTTGCTGCCTTTAGTGTCTGATAAGCTCCCCAGTTTGCAGTTTCTCTGAATTCCAGCATGTCTAGTCTCTGCCTATCTTTTGCATTTGATGTGATGATGACTTACCATACACATTTATTCATCTATCTATGTTCTCAAAGCAGCACTGCAGAGATGTTAGGAGTGAAAAGAAATAATGATGCTCACGCCGAGAGCTAATCACTTTCATAGAAATAATGAAGCTCACGCCGAGAACTAATCACTTTCATAGGATGGGCATGGAGCGATCCGTGGGTACCGTGGATCCATTCTAGCTGTACTAATAATCAAATAACATTGTCAGTTTGAGCTTGACTAATGGAAAAATCAGTTAATTAAGTGAACTAAAGTAGATCAATGCATCAATCCATGCCCATCTCTACTTGCGTTACTCAAGGAAAAGGAAACTATGAGAAGCCTTTGATAAAGTTCAGGGAAACGCCCAAGTGTATATCATATCAGGTTCTTAAGCTCAAATTAATCAAGCAGAACTCGTGTTTTACAAGTAGTTCTTAGCCAACTGCGTCAATTTACAGGCCCATAGGAAGACAATTTACAACTTGGGCAAAGAAAGTATTAGAGGAAATTGAAAAATCAGTCCCTAGTTTTTTAAATAGAAGCGCTGAGCCTCAGCACCATCTCAAGCCTCTCTGCCTTATGGTAGTCGTTGTTGGTAAGTTGTCCAGCAGGAAAAGGTGTGATCTCCAGAAGCAGGTGAGGAGTTGGAAGCTCATCGAACAATGCTCTCACGTTATAGCAGCAAACACTTTCGCCATGAGCACTTTCCCTCCTAATTTGGCAACCCTGATTGGTAATTTAAACATGAGGACTGATTTAGTAACAACCGAACAAAAGCACAAGAGAAACATGTTTAAAACCTCTTTTGACAGGTGATGAGATAATACTTGTTCGCAAAATGTTGCATAAAGGGGCACATGAGATCACTTGTTCTGGACTGAGACAAGATTTTACCTTGTGAGACGAAGCATCCACAAAATAGTCATCTTGGGACAGAACTGAAGCAATCTCCTTAAGGATCCGCCTTCCTTCATCCGTTGATCGTACTCGGTAGGTTCTCTTCAGTGTGCCTCTGGTTGTCGGCTTCCATTTGCTAGTTAGCTTTCTCTTATCCTGAGCATCTTTTTCACCTGATCAACAAGAAGCTCAAGACTATTCACCTTCTCGTCCATTACAAAACAATGTAATAAAGTATACACATGTTACCATGCATTATGTTCAGGCCTTTTCCTTGTTAAAGCTGAATGTAAAGAAATCTAAAGAGCGTTACAAATACTAACGGAGAGGTTACTAGTCAATATTATATAAAAGAGAGAACAATTTCATCCCAGTACGGTTAGATTTAGCACGGAAGATGGATTCTTCAATTTCAGGAAATACAAACCCAGAAGTCAAAAGTATGGACAGAATTGCACTTCAATTCCAGAGTACTTCTACAGAAAAAAAAAACAGAGAGCCAGCAGCCTGGCATTAACATAGGTCACAAAAGGACTATATTATTCTCTAACCAGAAAAGAATATTGGTCGATCCATCCTTCGTAGCAAGTACAGCGACAGTTGGCTAAGAAAGCCAACCAGAGTGAAAGATCATACCCACGCAAACATTCCCAATTTGATTACTTTGTTCCCTTCACCATATAAAGTCTACAGAACCCACTCCTCCCATTTAAAGCATCCAGAGTGCTATACCATCAACACCAGACCAAGTCAACATTCGGGTTGGCACATCAATACTATATAGCAAGTATCAACTCAGTGCATGACCCCCATGACAGTGCAGCATGTTGAATCCTCAATCTATCATTTTAAAGCTAAGATCCCTTTACACTTTGAGATAGCCCCAGAATTGTGTCTCAACCCTTTTGGCCCCAGTATTGTCAAATTCTGCCGAAAAAACCGAACTACCATCCACCATGTACTATTTGGTCCCTCCTAACAAAGCAGTAGAATCAGATTCTGCAAAGAACAATATCTTTTTCACATCCAAAATCTCCTTACAGATGCAGAACGGCAGAACCGTATAAATCTTTCACAGCATCCACTTCCACCGAACAGAGCATCAACGGCAAATCCGAGAAATGCGTGAATACATAAATGAACAATTAAAATCGGGCAAACAAGATTCAGAAAACTGCACGAAACCTGAGGCGCCGCCACGGAGCTTCTCTGCCCACTTGGAGAACCCTAGGTCGCTGTCGCCGGCGCCGTCCTCGCCGCCGATCTCTGCAAAACACACGCGCATCAGAAAAGCTCAAACACCTCCCCTGCTCCCCATTCCCGAACCCGAAACACCACCGCGTCGAACCTCGCGTGTATTACCGTGTGACAGGAAGGGGTTGCGCGGGGAGCCGGCGAGCCCGACGTGGAGGAGCGCGTAGTAGAGGCAAAGCCGGCCGGCCCAGACCAGCACGGGGCCCTCGAGCAGCGACGCCACGATGGGGGCCGCGGCGGCGGCGGGGTTGAAGGCGAACGCCGCGGCGGCAGTGCGCCTTGGAGAGACCGGGCGCGGGAGCGAGGGAAGGAATGGGGTCTTCGCCGGTGGGAGGGAGCGGAGGGGGAAGGCGCTTGGCGCCGCGGCGACGGCGGCGGCTGGACCGTGGAGGAGGTAGGCGAGCATGGCGATTGGCGATACGGGCTTAGCTGCAGTGTGCGTGTCCTGTGTGCGCGTGTGTTCGGTGCTTCGGTTTTCAGCGTCGCCAACTCGCCATGTCGAATTGTCGATGGTGGTGTGTTCAGAGAACAGAAAAATTGACAATAAGAAAAGTTAAAAATATCTTCATCTGTCTTGTTTTGTTCAAGGATTTTTGTGGTACAAACTTTAGCGGTTCCTTGCACACAAAAAACAAACAAACATCTATCCAAGAATACAGTAGTATTTTGTGCTTTCGTTGCATGACAGACGTAAGCTGATTCTCCCCCACTTCTTTAATAATCAGTAAGAGCTCTATCTAATCACTTAAAGTAAAAAAGGTAATTTCTTAAGAGTGTCGGGGTTCAAATTTTTGACGAAATTTCATAGAAGTTTTATGAATTTTAGAAATTTTAGGGGTTGACCGGATGAAAAAAAAAACTAAATTTTCATATTACTGTAATACATTTGTTTTACTGTAACTATATAACTGTAAACTCATATTTTCTATTGTTTATGTTGTATATTTTTCTGTTTAATAGATGTGTAGTCATAAAATCATGTTAAAATTTTGTTTAGATCTGAAAATCATAAAAATGATATCTCATGTTGAAGTATCTAAACAGTATTACCAAAATTTTGGCGAAAGTTCACGAATTTAGGTAATTTTAGGGATGAACGAAAACACTCAAATACTGAAACTGAAAATTCTGACGAGCGCATTAAACGACAGGGAACGGCTGCTAGCAAGAGAAGGGCACACAAACAAAACCACAATGCTAAAAGACTAGGTCACAGGCAGCTCGCACAACACACAGTTCCTAAGAAAGTTGCACCTCTCCTGAAAATTATTTGGCTGAAAAACACTGTTCCAGCTGAATTGTTGTGAGAGAAAAATACTGTTCCGACTGAAAAAAGAAACCGAATAAACCGACTTTTAAGGTCAGCCGAACGGGCCATATCTTGCATTTCCATACGATTGTGCACGTGGACGCTTTGGATAATGGCGAAGGACTGGAGGGGTAGAGTACGACGGGTAGGACTGGCGATAATAATCTTCAGATACCATAGCTTTCAGACGGCATCCGTCGTAGATCTATTGGCTCCTCTCTCGTCGAAGAAAATGATACCTTTTTTTTTTTTTACAGTCGAAGAAAATGATAGCTTGGTCACGATAAACAAAATCAAGCAGAACCGAGCCGGCCCGGCCCACGAAGGACAGGTCCAGATTGCCAACAAGACCAGCTTTGAGTGTTCCACAAATTTGATTGGCCTCTGCAGCATAAGACTGTGAATGACTATGCAGCAGATGCCAATGTATGGTTCAGCAGTTCCACAATGCTCACACGATTGCACCTCTTGGTACAACTTATAAGCTGTTTATGACAAAATTAAGCTGTAACTAACAGCCAAATAGTACACTTTTTTGCAACTTATTTCGGCCACCCTTATTCTCACCGCTCTGGCGCTCTCATTTGTACTAAAAAGTAGAAGATAGATCAGACTAGCTTATTTTAACTGCGGCTTTTACTCTATTTGTGAGCGCTTCCCAGTACCAAACGGGGGCCTTATCTCACACCGGAAGAGAAACGACGGTAGGTTTTTAACTGCTGAAACTGAAGTATCTGTGTTACATGTGTATGTTCACAGCAGATGAACTTTACTAGCAGATTAACTTTACAGCGTTACATGTGTATGTTCACAGCAGCAACCTGTGTGTATGCCTATGTGCCTGCGCAACCTACTACTTCGTGTCCTCCTCCTCCCCTCCCCCTCCTCTTCCTTCCAGACCGGAAGGATGCCTTGCCCAGCCAGCCTCTTGTAAACCCAGAACACCACGTACTTGGCCGTTATCCTTTTCTCATCGATCAGGAATGGCTCGATGGTGCTCACTTCGTTGCTGTAGGACGATAGCGCAAAGCCCTTCGGTCCTGCATTGTTTGTTATTACGAGATTAGTGTGCGCTTAGCGCTAACTCAGTAAGCTGGTTTTTATCTTTAGTGACAAAGGAATGTGTGGGTTTATGTGCTACATATCCTACAGCAGAGTAGATGGCCACAGAATTGATGAGCACCAATCTAGCCATGCCGCACATTATTCAATAATCGGAAGAGAGCCCTTGCATTTTTTTTCAAAGATAATAGGCATGGTAATGGCTAACGATGAAGGATTTTAGTCACATTCTACATTATTCTGCAAACCATGCTCTACTCTACTGTTGCTTAGAGGGGGAAAAAACTATATAGCCTGCACTATGAAAATAGTATGACGTTCTTCATGTCATTTAGTGTTCCGAGTAGCATGGCAGTGCTTGATATTGATACTAAGAAATAGGAAAGTTTGTTAACTAGGGCCAGAAATTTAGGTTATGCGCCGATGCTTATAAATGAAGTATATTCCTATTATCAGAAGTTTCAGAAAGGAAAACAACACTGCGCATCAAAGTTGAGTGAGAAGATGAAAAATGTAACAGTATGTACCTGTGAGGTCTCCTTTTGGAAAGAAGGCCCAAAAATAATAAGGGACGTCATCCTTTATGAAAGACCCCTCTAGCTGCAATCCATAAGCACTAGATCGATCAGAAATCTGCCGACTAATTCGTGGGAGCGATCTCAAGTTTCTGAATGAGCATTCCCAAACAAGTATTGGGCTATGTTAACGTTGTGTTCGGACTTCGGTGGAGGCAGTAGGAGTTGATGTAAGGTGATATCACTATCCTGTTCCATTTTTTGCATAACAATAGGCTGTGCCTACATAGTGGATGCGTGGAATTAAAACAGTGAACAGTGTCACATTAGAGTAAACAGTTTATCACAAAGCATTGAATGATATTAGAGCAAGGGCCTGAGTTGGTCGCTGCAGTATTGTGCTATCGACATAACTGATCAATTCTTCTTTCTCCATAACAATTTACAATGCTCTAGAATTAATGAACTGCACAAACACTACAGTCACAAGTGAGTGGCATAAACCAAGACAATTTCCTGCTGAATATATAATAATATTCAGTTACTCCTCTTGATGGTAATTTTATGCTAAAAGGCATTTATTTCTTGCATGCTAGAACAAATGTACAGTACCAATGACGCCAGTTACACCAGTTTTTATTCACTACGAGCATTCTGTATTTGGATGATTGAGCAAGTACTGACTACTCACCGTGTTGTTTTGGAAGGCGAGCTGGACCTGGGACACGTCATCCTCCGCCTCCAAGGCAGCCTTCAGCGGTGGGATGATCTCCTTCTGCATCATCTCCGGCAGCGGCAGCGCCGCGGCCTTCTTTGGCTTGGCAGCCGCGGCCGGCTTCGCCTCCGCTGCTGTGGCCTCCTTGGCACCGTCTGCAGAATCCTTCTTCTTGCTAACTGCAGGAGATCAATATAGTAACAGCAAACGATGTCAGCACTTGAGAGCACAGACTGCATAGAAACTGACTCGCGCGTGCAAGTGCAATCCAACATTTCTGAAGCGTCACCGTGCAATCTAACATTTCTGAAGCGTCACTGTGCCGATCTACGTCTCGAGAGAACTTGTTCAGAACAGATGGCCCCCCGATTAGGGTAGCAACTAGCAAGACGGTACCGGTGGTGGAGGTGGACGATTCCTGCACGGCCGAGCACGAGACGACGACGGCGCCGCCGCTACCGGCGCGGGGGAACGCCACGACGAGGGGCGCCCGCTTTCCGAAGAGCGGCGCGGCCGAGCACCTGCACGCCGCGTGGCCAGCGGGGGCACGCAAAGGCTGAGGCGCCATGACCATGAGCGTCCGCGAGGATCGGCGACCAAGCAAGCAAAACCACCGACGGTCGTGTCTCACGATTGGCGGAGGGGGGTTGGCAGCATGCGAATCAGCCGGACTGAGCTGATCGTTGCGCGCGAAGGCCCCCGGGGCACGCACGGAGGCGACTGGTTTAACTGGAGACGACCAGACGGGGTCCCTGGAGTAGTCGAGTGCAGCCGTGCAGGGGTGCCTCCTGTCCACTGGTTCAGTTGGACGGCACTGGTTTGGCGCCACGCTATCTGCTCGGCACCGGCACCTGCGGCTGCGGGCTGCACCCTCGCGGCGCTGCACGGGGGTGCCTGTGAGCCAGCCAATAAAAGGTACGTATGCTTACTGTCGTTTATTTATTGATTGATAAAAAGAGGTATCGAATAAGTCTTACCCTACTTTCCAACAATAAAGCAATGGCTAGAAAAAATGTTGAATAGCAATACTACCCTAAATAATACGCTGCGTCGCTGAACATTGGACCACCTACAAAGCCACTCACATTCAGGGACCATACTTTATATATTCAGTGCCAGTCAATGTCGATACAAGATTAAAAGATTGTGCAATGCTACCAGATGCGGTTGTTGTTTACTGCTTTTTTTTTTGGATCAGGTTGTAGTTTACTGCTATGCCACTGGAAAGTGTCGGGCCGGTTGCCGCGAAAGGCTGAGCGGCAAATTCGCCAGGGAAGGCGGCAGAGGCCCATCTCGAAGTGGCGGTGTGGCCTGTGTCGTGGCCTAGATCGCTCTGGCCTCTGGGGCCCGTTGCCTTGACCCGCAACGAGGCCCGCCACCCTAGCTTCGTTGGCTCATGGCCCTCGAACTCCGCGTTCTGACCCGCAACGAGGCCCGCCACGCTAGCTTCGGCTAAGGCCATGCTCTAGTGTTTCACACAATCACCTCTTCCCCTCTACCGCTCGGTCGTCGCTACCGCTAAGCACGCAAAGTAAAGTTTCGCTTGTCATGAAACTATTTAATTTAATCTTTTTCAATATACATAATTTTTTTTCCATTTCCTCATAACAGGCTGCGTATAACGAAGGCAAGATGAGAAGGGAGAATGGGTCATGGGTGGAACACGTCTTGCTACAGACCCTTCGCCCACGTCGTATCGTATTCCGTGGTGCTCTGCTCCCATCACGGGTATAGCGTGTTGAGCTGCGGTGCCTGCCGCCGTAACTCCCGGTCTGTTGGCTGGTCGGTTTCTGACTGGTTGGTTGTAGGAAGAAAATACTGTTGGCTGACTGAACCAACAAGCGAATCGAACAGGCTGCCGTGTCAAATGTCACGATTCCAATTCCATACGCCGCCGACATAGACTCGGACCATACGCTTACAACAGCTAGAGGCTAGGCAGGTCGCAGGCGTAGCGACGCCCACGCGGAAGGCCCCGCGTGATTGCCCTGTGAACCCGGTCCACGCCATTATTCCGTAGCGCTCGCCAACAACCGCGCCGTAAAAGCAAGCAATAAAACTCTGCGTACACCCAAATCCTGAAATCCATCCACCCATGAGTCCATGACCCACCTCCAGAAAATCTACTTGCAGAAATCCATCCGCAGTCAGTCAGTCACCAAAGGATAGGCACGCCGTCCACAACAGCCCCCTGACCTGCGGGACCACAACACCGTCTGACCTGCGGGGCCAAAACCTAACCCGATAACCGATCCCACCACACCGTCGCGTCGTACGTTGCGCTCCAACCGGACCCGGGACGGGATACGTGTCAAACTAGGGTGCCGATTATTCAACACGGCGGGCCCGGCGCAGGGGTAGTACCGTCATTAAACCACGAGTAAAGAAAGGAAGGCAAGGGTTCGTTTGCCCATCGGGCGAGAGGCCGAGAAGCATCCAGCGGAGGCATCTCGTCCGGATCCGGACGCATCTCCTTTTTCTCCTCCCCTCTCTCGCAACCCTAGACCCTACCCCACCTCGAGCCGCGCTCACCGACAACGCGCTGCCCGCCCACCCCCGGGACCCACCCGTGCGCTCACGCCACCGCTAGTCACGTTACCCCCCTCGCCCCCACCACCACCACCACCACCGCTACCGCCTACCGCCCACCCACCCGGGCCCTCTCATTCCCACCCCCACCCGCCAGCGCAACTTGCCAAAGCGAAAGGGAAAGGAGTAGTGGCTGCTGTACGGTACTCCACCATCTCCCCGGCTCCTCGCGCCAGAACAAACGAAGGGAGAGAGGTTGCTCCACTTCACTCGCCAGCGTCCAGCCCAAACCACCCAACCGCATCTGTTTATTTCTCGCCCAAGCCTGGTTTCACCGCGAGAGCAGGGTAACACACGCCTGCATCTGGGGCCCGCTCGACAGGCACACAGAGCACGAGCACCGCGATAGACCACGGGCAACACGGCGCGACCACCGTGAACCATAGACACGCCTCAGCTCCTGCAGGCTTCAAGGCTGAGAGCGAGCCTCTCCAGCCGAAAAAAAGCCCTTAACAAAAATATACAGGCACGGGGAGCCCCGGTTTGCCTCCATCGCTGCAACCACAGCCATTTCACGTATCTCAAAGCGGTAACCAGAACACAGAGCAATTCAGCCGATTGGAGGTGCAGTACCTCAGGAATTCAAATGGGGGCAACGGCTACCAGGGGCATTTGAAAGGGGGCCATTTCCCGGGCTTTCTTTTGGAGGGAAACTACAGTTTGAGCATGCCTACACTGCCAATGCAACAGAAATTTCAAAGGGTGGGAGGGAAAGCCCCAGGGTTGCAACTACCATTTGAAAATCTGGAGGGAAAAATCAAACACAAAAGGGGCTTGCCGGCAAGAGGAGAGACTGAAGAACAGAACTGGTTTTAGCTAACTGGCCTACTAGGCTACACAAGGTGTTTCTCCATTACCTCCTAAAATCTGCTATTCCAAGAGGAGGCTGAAGCTCTCTCAATTCAAAGTCTTTACAAGAAAAAAACGATTAAAAAGAAGACAGGGGAAACCCACCATATATATGTTCCTGCTGCCTCCTGCTGCTGATCCTGCTCTGCGGGGGAGGGAGGGATCCATGTACATTGGCTGCTCCGTTACTTGTGCTTGAAGGGCCTCAAGTCCTCAATACCGTCATCCTCACTGTCATCACCACTGCCTGACAGATCATCATCTCTCTTCCGCTTGGTTCCCTGCGAGGATGAAGGCTGATCTGTGACCCCCTCATCATCATCGTCAACTTCTTCCCGGTCTTCATCAGCATCATCAGGGTCAGCTACTTCCAAGTCACCTCCAATGGCCATGGCTTGTGGCTGAGCGATTGGTTGCACAAGATATTCAGTATATTCATCCTGAAGAACATGAATATAACATTAATTAGAAATGTATTTCTACTCCATGTCATGAAAGAAATCAATCACTCAAAAACTCAAAACGGAAATATATTGTTAGAACGGGCTGGAAGTGGCATGCAAATGACCATAAATATAGACCAGATTCACTTGTACAAAAGGCCCAGCAAACTCAGGTTTTAGCAGACATGCAGATAATCAGTTGTAATAAGTTGAACAGAATACTAACAGTCAATCTTATATACAGTACAGTTTAGGAATGCTTGTTGAACCTGTAATACAAAAGAATCACCATTGCAAGTTCACATGCATTCCAAGATTAAGCCAACAAGATACTAAACATAAACCATTGCAAGAATGGTTGCATGAAGTATTTTGGAGAAACAGTAGATATAAAAAATGATGACATAGCAGGTAGCCGTATTTTATTAAAAAAAATAAGCAGCCAGTTCATGGCACCTTTTTAATGAGCAAACCAGGCCTTGTTTAGATCACCTCCAAATTCCAAGTTTTTTCACTCTCTCTCCATCACATCAATTTTTGGACGCATGTATAGAGCATTAAATGTAGGTAAAAAAATAACTAATTACACAGTTTGGTTGTAAATCACGAGATGGATCTTTTGAGCTAGTTAGTCCATGATCGGACAAAGTTTGTCAAATACAAACGAAACGTGCTACAGTGTCCAGGTTGCAAAAATTTGCAATCTAAACAAGGCCCCAGTCAAAAAAATCTTTTCATTGCACAAACAGCAGGTTTTAAAGAAACATATTAATGAACTCACAAAGCAGGCAGAACAAACAGATACGCATTGATATTCAGGCACAGCTCTATAATAACTTCATATACTGTCTGAACATGGCAGGCAGAGGCACAGAACAACGTGCCCAAGTTCATCAGGAACTCCTTAATGTGGTATCATCACAAATCACAAAGAATAAAAACCATAAACAATAATATGAACGAGAGTGCAAAAATACAATTGCACAATGGGCAATATCATGCACTCCTAAACAAAAATTCTAGACTCGCTAAAAAAGGGACACATACACGAGAAGAGCGTATATACAGATAATAGACAAACAAAAAATTGCAGACAAATTCTAGCCTCGCTAAAAAAGGGATGCATACACGAGAAGAGCGTATATACAGATAATAGACAAAAGGCTCCTTAAAGTAGATGCATCAAGATATATGATTGCCAAATATACAAGGTCTAATCCCAAAACCAGCATACTAATACCCATCACTAGACCTAAAGATTGCACAGGTATAAAAAGTGGATTTACCAGAACTGACTATACGCAAATAGTAGTTATTATAAAATTAAACCACAGGAAAAGATGTTATAGATGTGTTCAGCAGCCGCCATGGGGCTCTAATGCTCTCCCAAATACTCCTAGGCAGCTCACTACAGCAGATACCGTGACAAATTAATTTCGCTAAGCGACAACTTCCCTATACTAAAAAATCAAAATGCAAGTTATGTCATCTGCAACGATATAAACAAATGGATAATAGTAAACAGATTACCAACTGAACAAACAGGAAATTGCAATAAAAGGAAAAGCACTTGAAACGCTTGCAAGAAATTATGCGTTATACCTCATCATCCACATCTGCATCGTCGTCATCATTCCCCTCCTCATAAACCCTATCAACCTCCAGTCCCTCCTCATCCTCTTCACCGATCTCACCATTTTCATCCTCATCATCCCCTTCGCCATGCTCATGCCCATCTATCTCTTCTCCATCCTCCCCTGTCATCATGGCAACCCTAGCACTGCTCTGTGGCTCTGCCTCTTCACCTTCATCCTCAACCTCCTCCTCTTCATCATCTTCGTCCTCCTCTTCGTCCTCTTCCTCCTCTTCGACACCATCTTCCTCCTCATCACTACTTGGTACATCATGCACCTCCACAACAGCATCCTCGTCATCAACATCCTCATCAATCTCCTCCCCCAAATCATCCTCCTCCTCAAAGTCTTCATCCTCGTCATCATCCTCCTCCACGTCCTCATCCTCCTCGCCTGGGGCTTCTCCAGCAGCCGCGACACGAAACCCGTTTGCCCCATGGCCGTGCTCCACTCCCCCGTTCGGGATGACCTCGTCAGCGTCGCTCTCTTCCTCGTCCACATCGATCACCCCATTCACCTCCACTGGATGCGAAGCCACGCCGCCGCGCGCGTGGGCAACGCCCCCGTTTGCTACCTCGCCGCTCCCGGGGTCTTCCTCGTCTTCCTCATCTTCATCATCTTCGTCGCCGTCGCCGTCGCCGTCCGCGTCTCCGTCGTCATCGTCGTCATCGGACTCGGGGCGCTCGTTCTCGTCAGCATCCATCTTATCCAGGTACTTGAGCGTCCGGATCATACCGAAGACCCTGGATCTGTAGTCCTTGACCCGAGTGACGGGGCACTCGTAGAGGTCGAGCGACACGAGGCGCATGTCGGCAAGTGGCGCGAGATCGTCGACGTCCTGGATGCGGTTGTTGCTGAGGTCCAGGTCCCGCAGCGAGGACAGCCCCGCGACGACGAGGTGGTCGAGGCCGCCGGCGATGCGGTTGTCGGAGAGGGTGAGCCGCGTGAGGTTCCGCAGCCGCGGGAACCCCTCGAGCGACGTCACCCCGACGCCGGCGATCGAGAGGTGCTCCAGTGTCTGGTGCCGCTCCAGTATCTCCGCTGCCGGCAGCCGCCCGTGCATGCACTTGACGGCGCCGTCAAGCGTCAGGCTCCGCGCCGGCGACGAGCTCCCCTCGCCGCCGGCGTGCAGCGCCGCCTCCACCGCCCGCTCCCACGCCTCGTCCACCATCTCTTCCCCCTTCTCCTATAATAAATTAATTATTTTTTCCCACGGAAGTGTTTGGTTGCGAGGGGATTTGAAGTACAGAGTGATCTTATACGGGGAGGGTGTTTTCCTCGCCATTGGGGGAAGAGGGGGGCGGTTCACGGGCCGCGCCCTGGACCAGGCGCAGGGAGGGTGGCTAGGGGGTCTCGCTCGCGGCCAATGAGAGTGCTCGGATCGGGAGGCGCGGATCGCTGACGTGGCGGGATCCGAGGGATGTGTGTTTCTTTTGAGAGGGGACGGGTGCAGAAGCGGGGCGGAGAGCAGGATAGGCGTGGTGGGCTGGATGATGCCAAAAGCATCTTTTTCTCCGGCCCTGGTTTTATTTTTTCGTCTCTGGTTTTTCTTTTTGAGCACGAGATATTATTAATTCTTTATTACTGGGACCATGCGTACTCCGGGTTCGTGTAGTGCACATCACTGACAGAGCGAGCCCACTATTTCTGGGACCCAAGGGGAAGTGGCTGGGTAGCAAACCGTTATGAACTAGACAGTAGTGACCCGAGTACCGTCCGATTTACATTGAGGCAGCCTAGACCGTCGGATTCGGTGTGGACTTGCGTCTGGTTTCTTCTGCCGACTACCCGGTGCGGTCGGGTAGAGGGCTGCGCAGACTGGCAGTGGGGCCCCGGAGGGTGGCTGGCTGGAGGTGTGGAGATTGGCAACTGGCACTGGTTGATGTGGACCCGGATCAGCGTTGGACTGGCCTGCAGTGGCGACGGTTTGGGCCTTTGGGGAACACGGCACGTCCGCGTTGAGGCTTGAGAGTTGAGAGGATCGTACGGAGCACAAAGCTCGTGGTTGTTTAAAAAGCTCGTGGTTATTTTGAGTTATAAATGTTAAAAAACTCTTAATGTTTGTTTGTTTTATTTACTCCCACACAGAACTATACTTCCTCGGTCCAGTAATACTTTTTCCGTCCAAATTGATCAAACTAACTAAAAGTTAACTAAGTTTTAGTAAACAGTATTAACATTTATGTCTTTACATAAATTTGTTATAAAAAATATATTCTATAACTAAACTATAGTTACTTATGTTATATCATGTTAGTACTTTTTATATAACTCTAGTTAAAGTTTAAAATGTTTGACTCCTAAAATACAAGAGTTACATTCTTTTGGGCTAGTTGATATTGTAATTGTCTATCAGTCTCACGTGTGTAGAGGTTCGAGTGTTTTCTTGACCTGTGTGAAGCACAATGCTCAGGGGTGTCCTACCCCGTGGGTTGAGTTTTTTTAAATAAGTATTATTAGAATTATTATAAATTGTGTGCTTATATTACCTATTTAGCATCATAAATGCTAATGTTCCTTCCTATAAATTTGATCATATTTAAAATAATTTAACTTAGAACAAATCTAAAATACCAGTTCATTTGAGACAGAGAGAAATTCTTTTTTGAAACGGAATTTTTATTAAACCAAAGAGCAATACATTGAGTTGATACAGACTTTGGAACAGAGAGAATACATGCTTAATCTACGTGCGAATTGCTAAACGCTAGTGTGTAAGACAATGTCTTGAGATCAATAAAGACGTGTGGGATGCTTATCAACCAGCACATCGTCTACTACTAAAATAGTAATTAGTTGTAAATAAAAACGTAACAGGTTTGAAAATAAAATCTTAGTAGATAGAACTAATCACAATAAACCAAACCGAGAAAGTTCTTCAATAGTAGTAGACGATGTGACGGATAATCCCTTGTTTAGTTCTTCAACAATGCACTATGCAAAAATAAGATTATCCGTCGTGTCAAACTTGGGGACCATTAAATGTAGATTTAAAATCAAAAACTAATTATCAGGCTTTTACTCTAGATGAATCTTTTGAGCCTTTATAATGTTTGGACATTAGTATACAAACGAAATACTACAGTGAAGAATCGTGCACTATACAAAGTTTGCAAACTTTGCCGAACTAAACGCGCCCTTACACCAAGCTCATTCTCATGTATCGTCTAGCTATGACTCTCATGTATTGGGACCATTTTATCATAATTATCAGGTATCTAGGTTAGTTTATAATCAGATTAGTATATACAATGTAATTTATTTGATCTTTAAACCACGATATATTCATAGTCTCTCCGACTGTGGGGGACATAACCCCTATCTACAAGACAAGACATGGGTCGTATCATCAGAAGTGGTTCAACCCACAACATCAAGGCGTGCGGCGCACGGCACTGATCGACGTGGACCGCAAGACTACAAGAAAATATTGTAATACCAAATATGATATTTTTCTTATAATCCTACCCCTCCAGAGTATATAAAGAGGGTTAGGGGTCCCCTAGACGGGATATATCAAATCTGATACACAATCAATATAAAGTAACAAAACATAGGATGTAGGGTGTTACGTTAAGCTGACGGTCTGAACCTGTACAAATCTTATGTCTTGTGTCTCTGTTACCGTCTGGTTCGTATTACGCGTACATCCACCGATTCATCTACTACCGTGGGTATACCCCTCGGTAGACTGCCAATCAGATTTCATCGATAGTAGCACGCTAGGTAGAAGGTGTGCGTGTTGATCCCACAACCAATCATATGGGAATTTTCAACTTCAACAACATCATGGCACAACACGTCGCAAACTCGGCTTCCTATGGCGGCGTCTTTCAACACCTGTTAAGGGTTCGACGTCTCTAGGCGATTTGTGGCGGTGTGTTATCAGGGGGATCGACCTTGATCTTTGATCCCTCGACCATCACAGCGACTCATCGGCTCGAGGCGGCATCTCACAACGTCGTGTGTGTGCAGTATCCTTTCGTGGCCCACGATGGAATTCGTCTCGAAGAAATTCAAAGCTACACTCGGAGATCTGCGTCGATCTGGCATCCCGCAGTAACTCGACGGATCAGCGTAGCAATGATTGCTCTGTTCGTTTGACTGATAAGCCATGGCTAAAAGTATTATTGACTAATTTATTATAAGAGAAAAATACCGTTCGTTGATTGAAAAAGTATGCTTATATCATCGGGTGATGGACCATCGTAAGTTTCGCGCGGAGGCTAGTCGACGTATCATCTAAATTGGACTCACTTCGTACGGCTCGGAGAAGGACGTATCTGCTCTGGAGCCAGTTTCGAGCTGACCGAGTCTTTTACGACATCTACACCCCTGACGGACAGGATCCGGCGGCAAGTTCTAGATTAGGGCATGTTCTGCTGGTATTAAAATCGGTTGAAATTATTTTATTGTGAGAGAAAAATACTGCTGATAAGTTTATGCGAACATGCGTTAGTTTTCCTTGCCGCTATGCATGCCCAGGACGACCATGCAGGCCAACTAGAGTGAAGCAATGCATGCGTATAGATGTACGTCATCCAGCGAGCAATTCTCCAGCAGTCGATCGGTCGACGCCTCCGCTTGACCTCGCAAAGCTAAGTCAATCTTTTAATCTTCAATCTAATATTCTTATGATATAGTACATGTCCAGATATCTACATATATATGATTATTTTTGCAGGAATCCAACTACGCTTGTCATCGTTCTGCGTCGTCTCGCATTGGTGACACGGATCTCGTCGGCAAGCCTCTGGCTCGTTCGTGAGAGCATCGAATTCGATGCCGAAGCACAACTCGAACAAGCACGATCTAATACACGGAGGTCCCACGATGGCCTTGTTCGTCTATGCAGTGCGGAGAAACCCACGAAGATCGGAAGCAGAGAGGAGGACGAGGACACGGTGTTCACCCACCAACTCCTGCTCCTACGCGGTCGACGCTCCCGAGGCGTTCCACAAACTGGAGGCGCGCTACGTCAAGGACGATCGGCTGCGGATCCGCTGCCCCGTCTGCATCGAGTGGAGTCAGATCCAACCAGGACCAAAGATGGCAAACAAGAAAGCTAATTAAGGAAATAATAAAGATATTGACGATCATGCATGTGCGTCAGGCATGCAAGGCATGGAATAAATTTTCCATGCTTGCCTATGCTTGCATGATCCGTCGCAAGTCCAATCTCCTAAAACGGTGGCTCAACGCCTGAAGGAAATGCAGTTCCGAGCCCGAGTCCATCGGGCACGTAACCTGCATCGACTCCAGCTAAAGCGCTACGTGCAAGCAAATGAGGCGGACTCCAATGTACGGATCAACAGCCACCGAGCAAGCTGCTAAGTGAGCCGCCCGAGCCATCAAATGAGCCGTGCCGCGTCGCAATGACAATCGACACGAAGAAAGACGCTATGACAACCGCGACCGTTGCCACGACGACAGGCTGGAAAGCTCGAGGGCCGGACAATTTCGTCGACGCCGACCAGATAACATCATATGTCACCGATCAGACATTTTGACTAAAGCTAAGTACCTCTACTATATCTGCATTTAATACAATTTTCTCCGAGTTTTCGCCATGCTCCTCCAATTATTATTTCTCTAATTTTTTTTTCATAGTTAAATGTCTCCACGTTTAATATCTCCGTGTTTAAGATATTCCATAATGCAATATCCGACCAGTTGATTGGATTGTTCGGCGCTCACTTCTACTCGGCGCTCACTACGCCGTCGACCAGTTGGTTGGGCTGCTCGGTGCTCGATTCTTCGCCAACAAACTGGTCGGATTGTCTGTCGCTTCATCGTCAGCTACGCTTAGGGAGAACCAGAAGGGAATTTTCCATCATCATCACCATATGCGGCGACGACTCAGCTCCGTGAGACGGCAATCTCAACTCAAGGCTCCGAGGCGCATCACTTTTCATAAGAGTTCTCCGAAGGTCCAACGCTACGCTTCGTCGGCACCAATCAAGGAAACGGCTACATGCGGCAAGCCAGCAGCATGCAGGTCAACTTCAAGAATTCGGTTGCATCATCCGACATCGTCATCATCCTTCGGCGGCGCTCGTCAGTTCTCATCGACTGCTTGCGTGGTCCTCGCTATCGACTCGACATTACGAGGCAACTCACGACGACGCATTGTGATTTTCACTAAGATCAACGTCAACAAGCAAAGGACGA